ACGCGCGCACCCCCGGCCACCTCCCAAGGACCCTCTGGGAGCCCCTGAGGGTTCTCTCTAAGACCCGAGTCGCCCCTACCGCTCTCCCCTCAGCCCGGAGCCCCAGGCGGGGACCCCGGGATCCGACGTCTCCGCGCCTCCGGGCACCTGGCTCAGCAGGAGTCCCCCGGGTCGGAATTCAGATGAACACAAACATTTTTTTAAATTAAATCTTTATTGTTCAGATTATTACATTTGTTACTCTTTTTTCCCTCAATAACTCCCCTCCTCCCAGTTCCCGCCCAACCCTCCGCCCTCACTCCCCACCCACTGTCCTCATTCATAGGTGTGCGATTTTTGTCCAGTCTCTTCCCACATCCGGAGCCGCAGACCCTGGAAGACTCGGCGGCCGGAGAGGCAGGCTGTTCCCCGCAGCTCCCGGCGCTTCCAGGCAGCCCTCCGAGCGGAACCAGAGGCCCGACCCGCCCTCCCCAGGTAGGAGAGAGACCCCCCCGACAGAAGTGGGGACCTGGGTGTAGCGGGGAAGCCAGGCAGAAGGGTTTGAGGATTGTCGGGGTGAGGCTGGGGGAAGCTTGACATGCTTCGCTCAGTAAAACGGATCGTGGCAGGTCCATCCGGCAGCTTTGCACATCCAGAGGAGATTAAGTCAGCTGAGCACCTACTATGTGTCAGGCTGGGTGCTAGGCCCTTTATTTATGCCTGGTTAGAAAAACTTACTGAACTTCTACTCTTATTGATTGGTGCTAGAAGCTTCCATTCAAGAGCCCATTTGAATATGAGGAGAGTGGTTCTCAGGGAGGGAGAGGTACTTACTCTCCCCCTCTTTCCTGAGCCAGCTGCTGCCTGCACACCTGGAAGGAGGGTGGGGCTGGATCTGGTCAGTCCGATCTCCCTTCCCCCCGCCCCTCGCCCTGAGGAGGACCCCCTCTGAGGAGGGAGGAGGGAGGAGCACCTTCCCTTGTCCAGAGTTCCTTAGCTTTCTCTGGGTTGGTGCACAGAGTGTTTCCTGAGTGAGTCCCTTCCCAGGATGGGTGTCCTGTACTCAGCTGACCAGAGGGACCCCACGCACCTCTGAGGGGCTCCCTCTGACCTCTCCTCTTTGCCCTCAGCCCTGGGAGGAGGAGGAAGGATATTGTCCAGGACCTCCTGGGAGGTAGGAGGCCAGGCTGGGAAGGGCAGCCAGCTCAGGAGCCCGTGATTCAGGCTTCCCCTGGCACCAGGGACACAAGACGGGGTCCCCCAAGACCTCTGCTTGCGCTCCAGTCCCACCCCAGTGGCTGCTCCAAAAGCCCCTTGACTGTGCAGAAGCGTCACGAAGCAAGGAGCCCGCTTGCTGTGTGCCAGGAGCCGTGTCAGCCTCTAGGCTTCTCACTGGGCTCTCTGGGCCACACTCTGGGTTTGCTTTTACCATTTCCCTTTGAGAGATGACCAACCAACCCCCCAGGCCAGGCCATTTGCCCAAGGCCGCTGAGCTGGTGAAAGGCCGGTGATGCCTGCCTGCCTACCTCCATCCTGAGCCACCACGGGTGGTGAGGTTGGCTTTGCAAAGCCCCAGGACCCATCTCAGCGTGGGCATGGGGATTGGCGAATCCCTGTGTCCAGAGAGGCTGCGACGTGCCCTAGCGGAGGAGGCTCGAGGTGTGTGGGAGGGAGGGGGGGCAGTGCAGTGGCGGAGCTCTGGGGTGCTCACAGGGAAGAGGACGTGGCCACACTCTCGTCCTGCGGTCCTTGCTCACCTGACCTCCATCTTCCAGGCAGGCCCTGGGGGAGGGGCTCCAGGAAGAAGGGGCGCGCCCACAGATGCATGCGCTGGGAGTGGAGCTGGAGCAGGGTTTGCTGGAGAGCCCTGGGCAGGGTGCCCGCACCCAGCTGCCTGGAGGGAGAGGGAAGGAGACTGTAACAGGCCTCGGGGTCATTTCCCACCCCCAGACTCCAGCTGAGGCTTCCCTGAGTCAGTCACTATTGTGAAAGGCTCTGGTTTGGTCTGGGGGTGGGTCTTCACAGAGGCCAGAGTGCAGGCTTGGAGCCAAAGGCCTGACTTTAACCCTGGCCCTGCCACTCATCTCTGTGAACCGGGGCAAGCGACTCCAGCCGATGGTGGTCCCCTCTTCGTGGGGCTGTTGTGAAGTCATTGGAGTAAGGTACACAAAGTACCCAGTGATGGGAGCCTGCCTGGCTGGGGTGACTGCCTGGCAGGATGACCCCACCCCAACTCTGCTTCGGGCCTTTCTGCCTCCCAGGTACCCTTAGAATGGTCCTGGAGTAGGGGGTCTGCCCAGTCAGAGACCTGCACTCAGGGACTCCTCTGTCCCCTTGAACCACCAGGGTGCCAGTGAGTCTGGGAGTCTCACGAAGATAATGCTGAAGGGTGGCAGTGAAGTATTAGTGCTGCAAGTATAAAATATACATACTTCCCAGGGTTTGCAAAAATGGAAGACCTTTCTCCTCTCTCTGAGCCCCTGTCTCCTCTCTCTGAGCCCCTGCCTCCTCTCTCTCTCCCCTTTCTCCTCTCTCTGAGCCCCTGGCTCCTCTCTCTGACTCCCTCCTCTTCTCTCTGATTCCCTGCCTCCTCTCTCTCTCCCCTTTCTCCTCTCTCTGAGCCCCTGTCTCCTCTCTCTGAGCCCCTGCCTCCTCTCTCTCTCCCCTTTCTCCTCTCTCTGAGCCCCTGGCTCCTCTCTCTGACTCACTGTCTCCTCTCTCTGGGCCTTATCCCATTCAGCCCTTGATATTAGCGTGTCCGTAAGAGGAGCCCTAGGGGTAGAGGCTGGGGAGGTGGGGATGGAGACAAACACTGTTTCTGGGGGCTGCTGGCCTCCCTT